TAGGGGAGAAGGGGGGGGAGGGGGGTTTGGAGGGGGTGCATTGGGGGGTGCTCCAAGAGCGACAGAAGGGGCTGTTGATGGACTGTATGTGCGCAGGAAAAATGGCTCTCGCGAAGGTGTTAATTGCGCACAGCTCAAGAGGCATGACGAAGGGGCATAAGCACCGGGAAGGACGGGAAGAAGGGGCACAGGCCTGATGACCCTCCCCCCCAAAATAAATAAATAAATAAAAATTGATGTGCGCAGCATGCGTACCAATGCGCTCGCCCTGCGCACCCCCCAGCGCACTGGCGCACAGCGCGTTGAAGTGTCGCGCAGCGCACGGCGCATAGCGCATCCCGCATCAGTGCACGCATATCAGTGCCCACACCCCCGGGGGGCACGCAGCGCACCGCGCGCCGCAGCGCATTGCGCACCGCATAGGTGCGCTGCAACTATGATATATATATATTTCTGGGCAGTTTTTTGGCCCAACCGGTTTACCCGGGCAGCCCCCCAGAGCCCAGCCCGGCTGGGCGGCGTCATCACTCAGTTGATTACTAATTAGCCTTCATGAGAAGAGCTGTCAGGGGGGAAATTGTTTAGAACTTTAGACCCTGTCTCTTATACACATCTAGATGTGTATAAGAGACAGCATGCGGCGCATGGACATGCGTGGCGTCTCGCACATGCGCCGCACCGCGCAGAGGGCACGACGCGCGCGCACCCGATGCGGCGCATTAAGAAATAGGGGGGTCTCCCAAAAAAATTGAAAGTTGGGGGGGGGGGGGTTGCAAGGCCGGTAGGCACTTCGCGCCGCCGGTCAGCCAAAAAATATTTTTTTTTTTGAGGCCGCAAGGGGCCGCGCAAAAACAAAAGGGCGGGGAGTTCCGAGTAGCCCCCCACACCGGCCCCACCCCGGCAGTCGACCTCAGCCCTGCCCCGCGCCGTGTGCCCCCTCGCCGCTGTCGTCGTCGTCTTCTCGTGTATTTCGGAGCAGGAAGCATCCCCCCACGTCATCGTTCAGCCATACCCTGCGCAGCTTCTAACAGCAGGAGGCAGCGAAGAGCCGAGGGTCGCAGCACCGGGAGGAGGCAAAGGAGCAGCCGTGTCCAGGTGGGTTACCACCAGCGCCTCCCTCCTTCTCTCTCTCTCTCTCCTGTCTCTTATACACATCTAGATGTGTATAAGAGACAGGCATATGTACATTAGACCAGATCAAGTCAATTGGGATGAGATGTTAAGGTAGCCAGTGCCTATAATAACAGCGTGCACTTAGCCACGTGTCGCACTCCCAATGAGCTGCACAAATCCTTTAGACCGCGCAGACCGTTTGA